CTCCAAGACTTTCTCCCCTTCAATTTACAGCACCAGACAAGAAATGGGAGAGAAACAAGAAAAATACCTTCCTTTCAGACTATTTTTTATCTCAGTTCAGCTCAATGTGGAGTGATAAGCTAAGTTTAACAAAGGTGATAATGGTCTTCCTGGTTACAGCCACCTATGTAAGCAAACATTTCCAGATAGAAGCATACACTAACTTAGCTTCAGTGTTGCTTAAACCAGAACACTTTACTCTGTTAAGTTGAATGTTGAATATTGGCACATGCTGGTATTTGCACTGTGGTGGGTCTTCTCTCCCAGGTTCATAGGACACAGAAAACCAAATTTCTTTGTTGCCCTTAAGGGGAACTAAAAACATGGAAAAATGATCAGCCGTAGGTGTAGCTGAACAGGCAGAATGAGTAGTGTTGTCGAGAGAGCAGCTTTGACAGCGTCATTTGTCTTAAAGCAGTACTCCACAAGAGCAATGAAAGGACAAATAGTCTGTGCTTGGGTCACCAGTTTTAGCCTTGGGATACTTCAACAGTCACTTATTAGCTACCCCAAATGTGACCAGATTTCAAAGGCTCCTCTCAGAGCAAAATAAATCTCCACTTACTTTCTCTAGTGAGTGAGGCATATTAGTAATTACAATTACTAGATTAATCTTTATTTGGCTTTCTTCTCTCATGCTTGTTTCAGAAGGGAAAAAGGTTACCCTAAACAACTGTCAGTTTTTCACTTGTCCCACAGCCCCACCTTTTCCCTGCCTTCTATTTATTTCTTTTTTAAAAGTTACATAGGCTTATTGGCCTGGTTTGACATCCAGATGACAGTTGTGTTCACAGCTAATTATAAGTGTGGAAGTTCTGCTGCAGTTTATTGTGGCTCCCACTGCAGCAAATTTGAATTCAATGAAGGCTACTGAAATGTATCACCCCTTCACGTACCAGCCTGATTTACTGGTAGTTTCTAGGGCCATTCCAGACCATGCTGGACATACTCATGCTATGCCATCTTTGCTAGTGTGAGTGAGGGGGACACAGTCTCAAGCAGACATAAGATATACATTGACAAGCTCATTGTTTCTTAATGTGCCACCAACAAATAGGCAATTAATGAACCCCGAGTACTTCTTTGCTGTATACCTTTGATGTTGTCTCCCCTTTGCAATAGAGCACATCTAGGTTTAAATGATGATATCATACACTCGTCCCACTCTTCCCAGCCATTCCCGTACTGCTTGGCGGACACGGATATCTGTCACGTGGCAGGTCAGCTGGCTGATACAGGGAAATACCACTGGCTGCAGGGCTGTGAAAGTTTGGTCTGGCAGGGCCTGAATCTGATTGAGAACTGTCAGCACCATGTTGGTCCATGCCTACAAACAAATAAATTCAATAGAAAAAAATGACTCTTTAGAAGACCTATAAGTCATTATTTGGTTTTGTATTGCAGATATCATGCTCGTCTTTCATCACCTTTAATTTCACCCCATAGTGAACAAAGTTTGATGCTTTCACGAATTTGCTGACATGGACATGCAGGCAGTGAGTTTCTGTTTAGCAATGGAGCCTGCTATTTCTGCTGTGGAATTAGCAAAACCCCTTCTTAAGTACAAAAGCATTGTGACAAGCAGCATGCCATTGTCAAAAGCCTTAAGTGGGCGAGAGCCCTTAGCAGTAAGCAATGGGTTCACTGTAGGCTGCTAGTTCTTAAGACTAAGAAGTGCAGCTTTGGCCCCAGGCACAGAAGCACTCTTGAAAGCTGTACTAGTGTATGCATGATAGCACTTCCCTGAAAACTGATTTCTTTTGGATAAAACAGAATTAGGTTTTTATCAGTGCCAGCCCCTGAACATTCAGTCCTCATCATGATGCATTCTTTAAGTAATGAAGACATTATAATAACCAAAATATATAAAAAAATAGGTATCTTTTTAATTATTGCTATTATTGTTGGCATCCTACAGGCATATCCTACCTGTATCTGGGCCTCAGCATCCCTAACAGATATATTCAGGGAGCTGACTGTGGATCCTGAGCGTGGTCTCTTCTCTTGTCTCAGGACCTCCGGACCAGCACTGAATGAATGCCTCATTTGACCTTGATCTATAAGATGTTGTGGACGCTGGAGTATGGGTGAGTCTGGCCCTCTTGAACCGAGAAGTTCTCCTTTCTTTTCCACTTTGACCTCTTTGGTGAAGGATGTCATGGCCTGTTGCTGCTTTCTTTTCTTGTATTCTGTCATGAGCTTGGAGATAGTTTTGTCAGTGGCTATGGTGTAGATCTTGTTGCCAGCACTCTCCCACCATTCTTTTTTCCTGGTTTGCTCTTTCTTCTCTGGCTTAGGACTTAGGGGTGGGGGTAGCAGCAATATTTCTCCACTCCCGCCTCGGGGTGTCAGGCTGTCTCCCAGCTGATCCCTGATTTGACTCCGATCATCTTCTGATGGTGTGTCCTTCCCAGATTGCCCTCCAGTCGATGGGGTGGAGGTTTCTGAGTGAAAGGATGGTAAAATGAAGAAAGGGTCGCCTTTGAACGCTGGAGGCTCCTCTACATTATTCTCCAGGTCCAAATGCATCTGGATATAGTTGTTGCACAGTTCCATGCAGAGCTTATGAAGCCTCTTGATAAGCCACCCCCAGTCTGCATTGCTGACAGGCTGTACACTCAGGGATGGTATTCGAGCCCTCCACTGTCTCTTCTCCTTCCCTCGTGGAGGACTGACCTGGGCAGTTTCTTCAAAAATGTCTTCGTCTTCTGAAGAACACTGCTGTGATGAGTCTGTGCTTCTCTCATCATCCTCAAAGAGGATCTTTTTCACTTGCTCTGCAGTGATGTTCTCCTGGTTTGTCAGGATTGCACAAATCAAAGCATGGAAGTAGATGTTAAAGCTCATTGCTGACTGGCGATACAAATTGGCAGCTCCACTAATGCCAGAAACTTTTTTCAACAAGCACTTCAGTCCAGGTCTGGTGTCAAACTCTCTGGCTGTTCTATAAGAGTCCAGCAGTAAGTCGAAGATGACAGCCAGGTTTTGCATGGAGATGTACCTGAGAAAACCAGCCAACTTGTTTTCTGGTACTTGTATTGTCATTTTTTCCTCCAAGTTAGAAGGGCCCTTCACAAATTCCTCCAGTAAGATGTCATATAAATTCTGGAGCAGTACTTGGTGGGACAGCAAACTCACCACTATCGTCCTGAAAGGAATACTTGGTAAACCAAGCATGGGAAGGAAAAAAAGGAATTAAAATGGTGCATTGTGCTCTTACAGGAATACTTCATGTTTCAGAACCTAACGTGAAAGGCCAAATTTTCACAGCTTTGTTACAAAAAGGTGGAGGAAGATAAAGGTGTCTTTCAGTTACTTTTTCAAATACTGTCCTAGAAAGGAAGACACTTATCTTGATTAAGCTAAATAGCTGCCTATAGCAAGCATGCTAATAGCACTTATTGCAGAAATGGTATTAAAACAAAGCTCTATTATAATTTTTGTGCTTTTCTTCAGAGATGTCCAACACTAACGGATTAAATATTATGTGTTTCAATTTCACGGCAGCTGCAAGTTCTTTCAACATTTTAGCCTGCCATAACTCAGGAATTTGTTAACAGAGTTATTCCTGCACTCTTATTGCAGGCAACCTTAACTTTGCCATGACAAATGGAGGTCAAAACTAGTTAAATACTTGTTTTCTATTTCCATTAATGCCAGGAGTACTACTTAAAAATAAAATACAAAGAACCAACCAACCAACAAAAAACATCTACAGAAACATCAGCAGTGCAATGGAGCATGCAAGATAGCTTAAGTCTTGCTGAAGGCACATTTCACTGTTTGCTCTTAGGACTCCAACTTGAACACTGAGAGCCTAGCATGGAAATAACTATTCCTAACCCTGTTTCTCATATGTAATCCTTGATGATTCCTAGCTGTGCTCCTGTTAGAGATGCTGCGAGTTGTTCTAGATCTCACTGATTTTTGAATTGCACAGGAACTCGGGAAAGGCTAATTCCTCCCACCAAAGTTTCAGGTCATCCACCAGTGAATAACGTTGAGAGGCTTACAGGCAAGGGAGGCTAGGAAGAAGGAGTGGACAGGATTGTTGTTGTTTGGTATCTCATGGATTTAAAATTATAAACTATGAAACCTATCTTAAGGCATTTAGGAAAAAGCCTTTCAGTAAGATTACAGAGGTGATGTTTTAAATGGAGCTGACACTGTTACACATAGTAGTATTTGTTTTGATTTAGGGAACTATGATGGGTCACATTTTAATTAGCACTGCTATCAAGTGAGAAAAATTTTTCAGTTTGCTTGCAATACTAAAGTTTAGGTCTAAGTCAGAGTAAATTCATGTAATATCAGATGTTCAGTTGTAGACCTTTAATTTTTTTTTGTTGCAAAAATTATTCTACTTTCATTAAGCAACTTTCAAAAGTGTTCCCAAAATAACAACAACCAAAAAAAATCTTTTTTTTGAGAAATCGTAGCAAAACTAAGTTTAGAGAATGCAACATTAAAAAAAAAAAAACCAAACAATTTCAGACAAAACTCTGATGCTTGGGTTAATTTACCTGTGTCAGTTTGCTTACCATGACACAGCTGTCACTGCTGATACATTAGTAAAATGTAGTAGTCTTACTATCTGACAGTGCTAGAATCTTGATGATTAATATATACATTGGAGCTTTTTATGGGGAAGTCATTTTCTGCTGTAAAAATCATTACAGACTGACTCAGAAAAGCTCTTAAGAGCATATATAAAGTTAAATGAATGTTTGCATTGATTTCAAGAGACTAATCCTGTTCCAAAAGCAGGATCAGGATGAAGGAGATCTGATTTCCTTGTAAAAGCCAAAAAGGCAATTTACAAGGACAGTTTGAAGTCCTGCTCAGTTCCAAAGGAAACTAGTACAGAACTATAGGTGAAAACACAATGACAAAGCTGGTTAAGGATAGGATTTTCTTATTCTGCCTAAAGTTTAAAACTGAAAAATATTATTACTTTTTAGGAAGAAGAAAAGCTCCCTTACCCCAGCTTCCTGTGAAACGATGCAGCATTAAGGAAACAAAAGCAAAAAGGGAGAAGAGAAACCCCGCTAAAGTTAAAGTAAAACTTTTGAAAGGCTACAGTTACTAGCATGCAAGACTGGCATATTACTGCACTGCTGTAGCAAATAATATGAAAAACAGTGGCACAGTCAACCTTTGAGCCCTGTTTTGGTGAAAAGTGAGCATTGCCGGGGTAACATCTGCCTATTGGCATATACACTTTTTGCAGTTGTTTAGACAAAGCGCAGTGTGAGAGCATTCAGAGTTTGTATTAATTGCAAGCTTGCTTTGTTTGTTTAAAGACAAGCAAGACCCATACTACCTTTACAAACACAGCCTGTTAGATTTGCATGGCCTTATGTGGCATGAGGGGTGTACTCCAGTCTTGTTCTGCATCATTATAACAAGAAGAATGACATGCAAACCTCTGGATAAAGCAAATATTTTCCTGCCACAAAGGAAGGGGTTTAGACTGTGATCTCAACCTTTCTTTGTGCAGGGCCTTGTTCTGTGAAGGTGAGGCAACAGAGCATGTGCTCTGGGGGGAAACTTCTGTACAGCTGTGTAATACAAACATCTTGCATGGTCTTTCTTCCTGTCCATCACATTCTGGATCCTTGTTGCAAGCAATAGTTTAGTTTTGAATGAGAATGCCTGAAGCGGTACAGAAGCAGGTTTGGTATCTAGTAAAAGACAATTTCATGCCACATGTTACGTACCTTGCAATACAAACACAAACCCTGAACGCAAAATTCTAATTCTTGTCCCTGTTGAAGTTACAGCAGTTGTTAGGCAACTGAGTGCAAGCAAAAAGAAATATTCTTTGACAGGATCAGATTGTCATGCAAATGCATGAAGTTTCTGAGGTGGTAACATACAGAAGGACTTCCACAAAAATGAAGTGCCAAGCAAAACCAATGTTCCCTAGATCAATATGTTGACAGTTTTGCAGCTTTGGGTGTGGTTTCTTCAATTTATACTTCTCCAGTTTATCCATTAACTTTTTCTACCTTCTTAATCCAGTAATACTGACTTTAAAAGACCCTCAGTGAAGCAGACATTACTTCATTTGCTAGGTATCATTACAAATGTAACAGTACTTCCAAAGCTCTCTTCAAACAGGAATTTTTGACTCTACTTCTTAAAGAAAAGACTCTCAATATTGGAAAGATTTTCCTAGTGTTTCCTATGAGAATTCTTTTCTTAATTTAACTTACATTTCCTCTACTTGAAGGCTTTCTGTGACCTTATGTATCCTTCAGGTATTTGTAACCTATCATTTTTTATTATCTATCAGAAGCAGTTTCCTTATTTAGGTTCCTAAGGGCCACTTTATAGACCCTGACACAGGCTCCTCTATCACTATTAACAGCTCTTGCACATGCCTGCTCACCAGTATGTGATCACAGTAACATTTGGAGAGCAGACAGTAATAATCTATTGTCTCCTTTCTCACAAAACCTAATTTTTATTTGATTGGTGCTTTTCATTTTTTGATGAGACCTATGGAGAGGCATGGTTTGCCAGGCTTTGTTCACGTCTCTGCCAGTCTTTTTTATCTTGCTTTTAGTGACGCAGCATTTTCCTAATAAGTTATTTTACCTTCTCTGGGTATGCCCATTTGGTTTCTTATCTGGTGGCAGGTCAATGATGAGCACGCATGACTGGGCATGTTCAAATCCTTCCTTGTTGCTAGGGGTCTTTGGGGAGCACTGGGTCTCCAGCATGAAGACCTAAAAAACAACAAGTTACATAAAACAAACAGTTTAGCATTTGCACTGGGTCCTTGTTGGGGGCTGAGAAAAGGATTTCCTGCATTGTGAAAGATCTGTTATGATGACTTATTTTACAGTGATGAAGACAATGCAAGGTATCACTCCAGCAGACTTGCTGGAGCATGCTGCTTTGGTAAAATAGCCTCAGAGGCATGGGCTACCTCCAGACACCCAGCAGAGCACAAGACAAGAGACAGACATCGTTTTATTTCAAGTTGTTTAAGACATAATGCCAAATGCTAAAACAAGCTTTCTGCTGTCTGTATGCTACTATCAGGAAATACCATGTATAGTGGAGAAAAGGACCTGTTTGTATAGTTAGCCTGTTGTACCTAGAAAGATTGGTTGGAAGGTTTATTTTCAGCCATGAAGATCAAGCAGACACCCAACTTGCAATTCCTTGGGTGAGAAACGGGAAAACAACTCTCAGTTGCTGTAGCTTTGTTTTGTAGCTTGCTAGCTGTGTCAGATCCTCACTGAGAAAGACTCGGGGACTGCCACTGATAGTGTCTAATAGAAAAGCATATATGCCATATCTCCTGCTTTCTTGAGTTCTATGTCTTTAAAACTTAAAACATTTTTTTCCATTCAAACAAAAGTCTGCCCCTGCCACATTATTTCTGATCACAAATCCTGGTCAGTGTGTCTCAGATTTTCAAGCAGCATCAGGGTATCAATGTCAGAAACCGACACCAAACAGCTGTTGGCTCTTTTAATTCATCTGCTTTCCCATGCTGAAACTGTCATACAATATTCACAGTCTTACAGTACCCTGCAGGTCATTAAGTTCAGTCTGCTGTATTTCAAAAAACTTGTTTCATATTACCACGTTTACAAAATGAACAACCTCTACTGTAATCACAAGGACCCTGAGAAGGTTGTTTCTAAGCTTGCTCTGCTGATTAGGAGTTAGCGGTGAGTGTTAAACCATTTGTTAAATGTCAGCATTATGCTCTAGTTCTCAGAAACTCTCTTTGTTCTCTGCAATCTATACCAGGTATTTATAGAGAAAATTCCTCTTCAAACTCTCCTCTGATAGTTTGAACAAATATTGTTTCTCTAGTTTTGTATCACAGTCTCTGTTGCATTTGTTGTCCTTTGAATGTATTATTCTTTAACAGAGTAATGAGAAATGTATATGACATTCTAGATGAGGATTCATAGTGAAACTGCTATTTTCCCTTCTCTAACAGAAACATTTCCACTGATATATGCTGGGGTTCCTGGTTTTAAAACTACCTTACACAGTAGGCTCATCATCAGTCTGAGGCATCTTTCCCCACCCTAGGCATTCCTAATTCCTACTTACTTTTAAGTTGTTTTGTTTTTTTTTTAATCCTAGGTTTTATTACTTTTTCTCAATACTACTGTTCAACAAATACATGTTAGGTGATGAGGAAGTCTTTGCCCATAGGGTTTGTGAGGAAGGTGGTTGTAAAAATCTACTTTCATAAAGAAAAGTCCCCAGTTTAAAAGATTTTTCAACTTTCCCTGAAACATCAGTCAGTACCTGTTGTGCCATGGCTCTGATTCTCCAGTATTCAGCTTCAGCGCTTGGCGAAAGGGAGGGGGCTGCCACCTTCACTTCACAAGCATCTCCACTAAAGCTTTCAGAACCACTGTGGAAATAGCCCAATAGGTTCTATAGAGAGACACAACATCAGACTTTCATTGTGCGTTAAACAAAGTCAGTGACTGCAGCATTGTCCAGTCTCTTTGTGTGTCATATAAGATTCAGAGTAATCGGTCCCATTACCATAAGCGGGTCACCTGTTCCTTAGCCTTTGATGTATCTGATGTAAAGGCAATACAACTTATGTGCTCCAGCCTGTGGTGACTTGACTGGACTTTTTGGTTACAACAAAGATAGTGAGTTGAGAAATAATCTGTGGAGACCTATGGAGAATGCAGCTACAGGATCAAGTAAGCAACTTTGTCTTCTGCTAGTTTCAGCCATTTCAGAGGAATAAATGGATCGAATGGTAAGTTTTCACCTTCTGATTTCATACTGGCAAGGAAATTTAAAATCAGAGTGGGCTGTTAGCAGCTCGTGTTGTCTGTACATGTTTAGAAAAACTGATTATAATCTCCACTGTTGATACAACACCTTTCATTGTGAATTGACAAAGTAACAGAAGCTACCACATAATCCTTACACTTCTTTTCCTGGCTTTGTACCAGAAAATTTTTCTGAAAAAGAAAAAGCAACCTGTCCAAAGTTAGTGAATCTGTAACTAGTGTCATTATGTTTTGACTGTCAGAAAAAAAGGCAGTTTACCTTTACTGGCTCCAAGGTGGCAGAGAATGCATCTTGCAGGGCACAACATGCAAGCCTCCACATCTCTTCAGTAAAAACAGGCCCTGCTGTCACTAACACATACCTGCAAAGATATGAGAAAACATTACCATGTTCAAGAAAGAGCTGGACAATTCTTACTTATAATGGGAGAAGGTTGAAAACAGAACAAAAGGCCTACTTGGTGACTAGCTAATGATATTCAACTTCCCCAGTTGCTACTCTGACCTATTTTTGTAATTATACTGTAGTTTTGAGGGTATTTTTTCCTTTGCTTTTCCTTTTCAAGTAGTCATCCTACCAGGACAAGAACCACATATTGGGTAACTATATAATGCAGTGCATATTTTGATTGTGACTGTAAGAACCTGGAGACTGTGAAAGGTAGTAATTACCTCTAAAGACCTGCGAATTCCAGCAGAAAGACCCTTGATTATTTTTCCTAGGGATTAATTACAGACTAATTTCATATATGTAATATACAAGTGCTTTTTATGGGAATCATATACATAGTAACGCCTAAAATCACAGGTTCTGAAGCAGACTGAAAGCAGCAAGAGAAACTTACTAAGTCCAAAATTTATTACTCAAATAACAAGAGACAGATGTATTGTAGTCTTCTTTCAAGATGTTAGACAACTTAATCAGTTGAGGAGTTCTTCAAATACATGAAGACATCCTGTTTTGACTATACTAACAGAATGAACAGACTGTGTACCTGATACAAGAGCAGCCAACTCTGGAAATAATTTCTGTTGGTTCTGCTACACAGGCTACCAGCAACTTGAAAAGTTCTTTCAGCATAGTATTAATCATGTTTTCATAACCAATATCTACAAGGAAAAGATACAGACCGGTTTTAATATCATTGCTTTTTCATTATAATTAAAGTCTTGCTACACTTATTGCTATTCAGAGACTTTGCAAGCCCAAATTATTTTTATGCAGCTGTCACTTAAGTTCTGTTTTGAACTATGCATCACATCAAACTGAAATAAGAACAATCCTTTTGATATTAACATTACAAAATGTCTGAACTTAAGTGGTACTGGAGAATTTCAGTTAAAACCTGTTTCTGATATTCTAGTACTTTATGATCAAAGTCTTAGAATATTCTTTTGGAAAGTATAATGTACACTGTGATGACTTCATTTTGAAGATAGCCCAGTTCTGAGCAGGAAGCTGGACTAAGTAACTTCCATAGGTCTCTAACAAGTTTGGTTTTTTTTCCCCATAATTCTAAACCTTGTAAAGAAATTAAACCCCCCAACCCAAACAAACAGAAATTTTCAACCCGCCTCCTCTTATTTTATGCTTGAGCAAACACAAAGCAATGAAAACATCTCCCCGAGTAGCTATTCAGTAACGTGTCACTGGTACCTATCAGTAGATGAGACAGTACAATGACATACCTGAGTGTATGAAATTTTGAATGTGCTCCACTACGAGTTCACAGGAAAGGCCAATGGCATGCTTGAAATTAGCAGATGCCACATCCCAGTATGAATGGTCACCATGGCTGCGATGGAGCCAAAGAGACATCGTGGGAAGAAGAAGATGTACAACTGCATAAATGCCAAATCCTGGTCCTTAAAATAAACATAATGGCGGTTGTATATTTTTTGCTTACAAAGCCTATATGCACAGTAAATTTGCTAAGTTGTTCCAAGCTTGAGGCCAGCAGTGATGCTAAAGAGAGCAGGTTCTGAAACTTTTTTTGTGGGATGAGAAGAGTAAGCTGGTTTGGATCTAGTTGTGAGGTAGGATATGAACACTTAGCCAACTGTTTACCTGCTGGCTTTAATAAGCAGGTCTACAGGACTATATGATTTTCTTTTTCTATTTTCTGGACACCAGGCAAACATTTTGTGTGAGTAGGACATTGATGGAGTAGTCCACCTCTTTATTTGGGCAACAAGAGTAAGAGTATACTTAACATACTCTTACAAGATGCCTTTTGTCAACATAGAACAATGCACTAACTGGATCATGCTCTAAGAAAATCCCTTTCCACTTAAGAATGTCTCTGTGCAGCTCCAGCGTGAGTAACACACTTTACAAAATTGGTTTAGGATTCTAAAAGGTTCGGGTAAGGGCTCTGCTAGCTTGTATTTAATCAAGCTCTTTCATTACCAGGTGTTTTGGCAACATCCCTCAGCAATTCAAACAACAGATCCAAAGTAGGAGGCTGGTGCTGACGGGGACAGTTGGATATGGCTGTTGTTAATTCTTCTAGCAGAATAATCCAGACATTGATAAGGCCTACAAGTAAGGAAACAAAGATTAAAAAACATGAGTGAGATACTGCGTTATCCACCAAACTTTTGCTCAGACAGTTATGGAGGCTAAGAAATCATGGATTCTTGCATGTTGACTGTTGCTGTGTTAATGGCTGTGGGCAATATCGATTTTGAAATGAGTGCCTCCTTTTTCTTCCCTTTTTATTAAGTTTGTGTTTTAGCCCATCATTCCTCCTCCACAAATACCTCATTCTGGTCTTCTTTCTTAGTTTTCTACTCCTGCTAGTCCAGCCTCTTTAACCTTGGGTGGGGATTTTTAATTATTTTTTTGTTTTTAATGGGAGGTTTTACACATCTCACGAGCATTGCAAACGCTGCCAGAATGGAGCATACTCATTTAGGTTGTTCTTTTGCGTAAGGATCCGAGGTGACTAGCCATAATTTTACTGGCTGTGTTTGGTACCCAGAATTGAACAGCAATGATGCCTCATGAAGTATCATCAAGCTGCTTCACGTGTCATGTTTAGTTGTTAACAGGTCACAGACAGAAGTCTATTAAATGATGATATGGCAAAGCTGGACAACTACCAAGCAGCAGTTAGGATGCAGGTAGTACTGTGAGTTCGTATCTACATTAGCAAACATGAATGCTCTAAAAGATTACAGGATACAACTAGTTTTCAATTAAAAGAAAAAGGATTTTACTTTGGCTCACTAATGAGCCCACCTTCTCTGCCACCGGTAGCCATTCTGAAGCAGAGCAGAGAAGAGCAATGAAGCTGGTGAAAAGCTTAGAGCACAAGTCTTGCGAGGAGAAGCTGAGGGAACAAGGGTTGTTTGCCTGAAGAAAAGGAGGCTGAAGGGGGACTTTATCACTCTCTACAACTACGTGAAAGGCGGCTGTAGCAAGCAGGGTGTCAGTCCCAACCCAAACTAAACCAAACATAGAAAAGGGAAAGTAAAAGTGTGTTAGTGTTTTTTGTTTGTCATTTTGTTTTGGTTTTTGTATTTGTTTGTTGGGTTTTGTTTTGTTTTAAACTAGGATTTATGATTTAATTTTTTGTCAGAGAGCAGCTTTTATCTCCTTTATCCAAGGTAGCAGTGGAACAGAACAACCCATGTGATGGAAGAGCCTAGATAAAAGTAGGTACCAAGAGTTATTCTGGTGAAGCATGTGAATG